GAGTTGGGTACGCTCCCTTGTGGCCGGAGGTCTCCGATAAGGGAATTTCGACTGGCGGCCATTCGGAAAGGAGGGCCCGCGCTCACGAGCAGCGGAGCAGCGGTTGCAGGGCGGCGGCCCGACGGACGGAGGGGGGCCAGGGTCCAGGGGTGGCTCAGGCACGCTGCGATGGCGAGGCCGGCTGCCCCCCAGAGAATTGCGGCAGTCTGGCCCGCGCGGACGCGGCATGGCCAAAGCAGCGGGTGGCTGCGCTACCTTGCGCACCGCAGGAGGTGCGCCTGCGCGCCGTGGCCCGGACCCTCGCCTCTTCCCCGTACCTTGAGCGCCGCCACCTCGCCCCGCAGCTGCGACAGGCTCTCCTGCCGCGCCACCTCTGCGCCCTCGCTGCATTCCTGCCTGCACAGGCGGGCGCAAATGCAGGGTAACCAGGTGCCGGCTGCACGACCCTCCCTCCGTTCTGCTTTTCGTACATCACTTTCCATGTCAACACCACTCTCGATCCAAAACCTCAAATATTCATCCTTGCGCCCACTCAACATAGCCACAGGAACAACTCGCCCCCGCCCCCCCCCACACACACACACACCTGCAGCGCCGCAGCGAGTCGTCAAAGGCAATCGCGTCAGCTTCCCGCTCCCGTCGCGCCGCCTCCAGCGCCGCAGCCGCCGCCGCTAGCTGGCCCTCCAGTGCCTCGGAGCGACCCGCCGCCTCGGCCAGCGGCCCGCACTCGACCTCTGACGCGACCCGCGCGCTCTCAGCGGCGATGTGGCCCACCAGAGCCTGCGGATGAGTGGAGTGTGTGCGTGTGCGTGTGTGTGTGTGTTGTGCATGTGCGCTAGTGATTGGATGGCAGTGCTTGAGGCTGGAAGCCTGTGGGGCTGTGTGGTTGGGCGCCGGCCATACCTTCGGTCCTCCATACACGCCCAAGCGCAACCTGTCGCACACGCACGACCATCCACCTGCCTGCCAGGGACATGCACACGCCAAGCGCTCCCGGCGTCGTCCCGATCGATCAACCCGCTGCACCCCGTACCTCGTGCGCCGCCTGCAGCTGCTCCTCAAACAGCTGGGGGTCGCGCGCGTTGAGCCCCGCCTGCACCGCCGGGCCCAGCGGCACGGTCAGCGCCAGCATGGACGACAACGCCTGGGGGCGGCCGCGGGCGGGTGGGGTGTGGTCGTGCGGTTGGGTGTGCTGGGCAGCTACGCAGGAGTTGCGTATGCATACCGACCTCGGCACCGCCCCTGATGAGCGTGCCTTTGGTGCTGCATGGAGCGCTGGGAGGGGGAACAGGGTTGCGCAGCGCGACGCTGGGCGTTGCCATGTGCAGACCGCGAAGCGGCACGGCGCAGGGCGCCGGGCGCAGTCCCCTCCCCCCTTTTCGCACACCTGCAGGTTTGTGGCGCAGGACGACAGGTCAGCAGCCAGCGCGGCGCTGTCGGACAGCAGCTGGTCGCGGTCCTCCGCCACTGCCGCCAGCTCAGCCACCAGCAGCGCCCACGCGGCCTGCATGGCGCCCGCGTGCGCGTGTCGGGAGCGGTGGTCAGGGGGGTTCGGGGTCTTGGGGCAATGACCGGTTCCACGTGGCATGGCCGTGGCTGAAGGATCCACAGTGCCTTCGACTGCACAAGAGGCGGGGCTGGGAGGACGCCAGCACAACATCGCAGCTGCTGGTGCGGAATCATGATCTGGGCGCATGCACAGCACTGCACAAAGCGCAGAGCCCAACCC